CTTCACTAGCTAGAATTACAAAAACCCAGATAAATGTCGAGAAAATGCGTCGGAAATTACAGAAATCAAATATTATTGAGAGAAAGAGAGGAACTTTACCTTGTGGCAAGATGGGAGAACTGGAGAACTGGAAGAGGTCTAACGGTTAGCTACAGACTGCTCAAAAAATAAAAAGAGAGAGATTAGGGTTTAACCATTTCGATGGCGGGTATTGTGATACTGGTTAGCACGGTGTCGTTTTCGCTGAGGGGTTTGGGGGCTGGGGATGCCACTCGAACGAAATGGGCGTCGGCCCATATAACTATTGGACTTGTTTCAGCTTTCTTTTAAGGTTGCTCCTTTAGGAAAATTTGTAATTTTACACAGCGCTATTTGCATTCGCCGTCTTAAGTTCGAATTCTCTTTAGCAAAAAACTAAAAAAATTTGGAGTTGCCTCCTATAACCCTTTTCTCACTTTTCATTTTGAAACCTAATCATAATATCTTTTCCGAAATTAAAATTCATAAGCTAAACTGACAACGAATTACAAATTCCTTGTGAAAAATTGACGAATACCTCAAATATGTTTATAATATCTAACTGCCCAATATAATAGTAACACTAACAAATAAACAAACATCTAATGTCTATATCATGAATAGATCGCGCACGTTCGGGTCCACACGGTGACAATTGCCCCATATACACAACCCCTATTTCTGACTTTTTTTTTTTTTTTTTTTGAAACCAAATACCATATCATAATAAAACAAGGCCTACAAAGAGGCAAACATAAAGACAATACCAAGCAGTGTCAGGGGATAACCCACAACGACCCCTCCACCAAGTAGAGGCGTCATCCCCAGCACCACCATAACCCATTAATGAGGGCAAGGTAATCCGTCATTGTTCAATACATAGACCAACGAAGATGGGGGCCTAACGACCCAAACAACATCACTCATCTCCGAAAAACCAATCGATGCAATCTTGTGAGCCACGCCATTAGCAGACCGTGGCACCCAAGACCATCGGCAATCAATGAAATCCCCCCCCAACTGTTTAACCCGAGCCAGCACCGGGTATGCCTCCCAACTACCCATAGACAACGAGCTAGAAAGACATTTAATCGCATCCAAGGAGTCCGATTCCAGAATTACATACCTTACACCCAGCTCTGCACCTAGCCTGCACCCGTGCAACAACGCATAAGCCTCCGCTGCTGCAGCAGAAGGAGCATTAATAGGATGCCGCGCAGCAGCCACGAACTTGCTCTCTATGTCCCTCACAATCACTCCAACAAAACCCATTTTTGATGTCTTGGACCAGCTAGCATCCACATTAATCTTCACAAAAGGGTTGGTCGGAGCACACCATCTCGTAACCTGAAAATTCCTTCTTCCTTCACCCCCTCCTCTCTCCCCATCCTTTGCCTTTGCACTAATAAACGATCTCACCGCCTCAGAGATAGCAGCCAGGACCTTTAACGGGTTAATGGGCACCTCTTTGAAAACAAAATCACAGCGAGCCTTCCATATGCACCAACAGGTAAAAGCAATATAAGATTGTCTCCACATTATATCTCCAGAGTTGCATAAATTCGGAGAGAAAACCCCCTGAATCCAGTCCGACCAAGAAGGGAGAGAAGGACGATCCATTTTATAACCCAATGCCCCTCCAAACCAAATTGGCTCAACCCAAGAGCAGGAAAGGAAAATGTGCTCAATGGTTTCATCATGGCAGCAGCAAATAGGACAAGTAGAGGTTTGAGAGGACCTTCGTCGGAACAATGCATCCCGAGTAGGAAGACAATTGTGAACAGTAAGCCACAAGAAATGCCGTAACTTGGGGGGCACCTCCAGCTTCCAAATCCCCTTCCAAAACGCTTTGGGAACCCCACGAACAGAAGGTCGACGCAAATCCCTTCTCGCCATCGATCTTCCTTGCAGCCATCTATATCCCGACTTGACCGAATAAGCACCGTTTTTACTCGTATCCCAAATAAGCCTATCTTTACGACTTAAATCTCCAAGAGGCGTCTCCTCTATAGCCTGCATAGCCTCCTCCGATATGAAGGGTTGTAAAAAGTTAATATTCCATCTCCCCGACTCCGGACAGATAAGTGCACTGACCCTTAGACTGGGAGTAACCGCAACCTGGCCAACCGGCTCCGGGTGTCCAAGGGGCAAGGATGGAAGCCACCTATCCTGCCACACTCGCACCTCCTGACCACCCAAAATCTGCCAATGGGATCCCTCCCTAATCAAGTCCCTGCCACAGATGAGGCTACTCCACGCCCAAGAGGCCCGCCCACCCTTCTTCGCATCCCATACCGAGCTATGTGGAAAATACCGAGCCTTAATCACCTTAGCCCACAGCGAATCCGGTTCCGTAATTAAACGCCAGCACTGTTTAGCAAGTAGAGCTTCATTAAATTCCTGAAAGTTTCTGAAGCCTAAACCACCCATGTCTTTTGGCAAACCCAAAACCTCCTTTGAAACCCAGTGAATCTTATGGGCTCCCTCCTTGCATCCCCACCAAAACCCAGCCACCAACGCATCCAATTCCTTACAAACAGCGCTTGGGAATTTGAAAATGCACATTGGGTATGCCGGAATAGCTTGGATAACAGCCTTAATTAAAACCTCTTTACCGGCACGGGAAAGAGTATTTTGTTTCCACCCTTGTAGCTTTTCCATTACTCTTCCTTTCACATAAGCAAGACCACGCTTTTTCGACCGACCCCAAATGGTAGGGACCCCCAAATATGTTCCCGGATTGATTACTACCTTCATACCAAGGGCGTTCCCCATCTGCTCAACATTCACCTTCGGAACGTTTGCCCCAAAAAATACACTGGATTTCTCCAAATTTACCTTCTGCCCCGACGCCACACAAAATTTGTCCAGTAGATTTCTTAAATTCCCGCAGTTTTCCATATCAGCCCGCAAAAATAGAAGGGTATCATCCGCAAAGAAGAGGTGAGAAATCACGGGTCCGGATCCACCTATCTTGACACCCTCCAACCTCCCTTGGTCAACCGCACCCTGAATCAGTTTGGATAGAACTTCCCCCACCAAAATAAATAGATAAGGAGAAATAGGATCCCCCTGACGGAGACCCCTCGAGGGAGCAAAAGACTTTCCAGCCTGTCCATTTAGGAGAACAGCAAACTTCACAGACGAAACACAACCACCAATTAACGATCTCCAGCTACTACAAAAACCCATTCTTTCCATTACCGCATCCAAAAAATCCCATTCAACCCTATCATACGCCTTCTGCATATCAAGTTTAATCCCCATTTCAAATCTGTTCTGAGCTTTCCTTCCCTTCAGATAATGAAACATCTCATGGGCTATGCCAATACAATCCTGAATTTGTCTACCTGGCACAAAAGCATTCTGAGAAGGAGAGATAATTTTAGGTAATAGTACCTTCAATCGGTTTGCAAGAATCTTTGACAGAATTTTGTACGAGTAGTTGCACAGGCTAATCGGCCTGAATTGCGATACAACTTCCGGATTCGGGACTTTGGGAATCAGCACCACATGAGTCTGATTTATCAACCTCGAACCCGCAGCATCCTGCATCAAATCTCTAACCAAAGCAGAAACACCCTCCCTCACAATCTCCCAGTATGTCTGATAAAAGATCCCCTGGAAACCATCGGGACCAGGAGCCTTAAGCCCTCCCATATTCCCAGCCGCCGCCTTTATCTCCTCCTCCGTGACGGGTGCAATTAGTACCTCATTCATTTCTGGCGAGACCGAGGGATTAATGCAATCTAAGAGCGATCCCCAGTTACGATCCCCTGCCGAGCTAAAAACTGAAGAGAAGTGATTATCCACCAAATGGCGCACCTGAGCCGGACTCTCCACCCAGTTCCCATTCTCATCCCTAAGCTTCACTATCTTATTTCTCCTTCGCCTCTGAAGGGTTGAAGAGTGAAAAAACTGAGTGTTAGCATCCCCCTCCCTCAACCATTTAACCCTCGATCGCTGGCACCAATAACTCTCCTCTTGGAGTCTTAACTCATCAATCCGCCGAGATATCTCCCTTATCTCATCATAGTTTGGACCCCAGTCTCGCTGGAGCAAATCTAACTGGGAAAGAAGATCATGGATCCTGCTACCTCGCCCCATAAACTTAGTACGATTCCACCTGCTTAAACGATAACGGCAATCGTTTAATGCTTTCACCCACCTATTTACAGGGCTGCCATTATGTCGCCGATCCCAGCACTTTTCCACCAAATTCTTACACTCTTCCTCCGCAACCCAATACGCCTCAAACCTGAACATCTTCCTTCCTTTCTGCTCTTCAATATTAGAATTAAGGATGACTGGGCAGTGGTCCGATGCTAAAACCGTTTCATGCATAACTTGGGAGTGCGGCCATAGTTGCTGCCACTTCTCATTCGCCATGACCCTGTCTAACCTCTCCTCCACCCAATCCCCTTTTCTCATCCCTCTCCACGTAAAGGCCGGCCCATTGAAACCCAAGTCTATTAACTGAGAGGAAGACAGAAACTCTTCTAAGAACCTTGGCCTGTTGTACAAAACCTCAACTCCACCAGACTTCTCATGATCCCACAGGAATTCGTTAAAGTCCCCGCCACAAATCCAAGGAATGTCCGTGGGGGTAAAGTAGTTAACCATCCATTCCCAAAACAGATTTTTCTCAACTCTATATGGCGTTCCATACACCCCCGTAAACCGACTCCAATGCGTTTGCCCTTTAATTCTCATCACAGCATCAATAATATGCTTGGACGAAAAGATAATGTTAACCTCCAGATTGTCCTCCCACCACAAGCTCAGACCCCCAGCACTTCCAATTGGCGAAACATCAAAGCCATGAACATAACCCAATCTCCTCCTCACCCCTAGAATTCTATGATCTTTCATCTTAGTCTCCGATAAAAAGATCATAGAGGGTCTCTTTTTGCGAATAAGCCCATGAAGAGCCCTGACTGTCGTGTTCGACCCTAGCCCACGACAGTTCCAGAAGATATGACTCATGGCTGGCCTGCGGCTGTTGAAGGCCAGCCGCCACCGCCCCGAGCCCACTTGCCCGCCTTCCGTGTCCCCATCCTACTTTTATCAAGGTCCAACCCTCCTTCCATTGCATCCTGTCTTCCCGTATTTTCACTTATTTCTTCCTTATTTTCCTCCGCCGCACGGTTCGCGCTTTCCATCGTTAGCCCACCATCCTTGCTGTTTAACCTCCTTTCTATCTCTGCCTCCCTACCTTGGCAGTTCTCCTCCGTAACCGGGCCCTTGAGTTTCTTCTGTGGGGCTTGAGTGAGCACCAGATCCTGTGCTTCCCCACTTCTTTTATTGCCCCAGAGTGGGACCTCACCCTGGGCAGACAGAATGTCATTGCCCCCCTGAACATCGCCCGATTGTCCTTCACCCACTGTTTTGATGCTTTCCATTTCAGAGCAGGAAGACGAATCCTCTCCCTCCCCCCGCATTCTTCTACGCCATTTTTTTTGGCCTGTGCCACGACTCTTAGATGCTCCCCCAATCTCAATGGTTTGATTACTCTCCATTCTTTGTAAGTTTGACATCCTTAAGCTACCTTGATTCTGTGCAGACATGATGCCAGGTCCGCGCACCGCCCCGGCCTGCCGACGTTCCCCCCTGCCCACACACTCCACTTTCTTTGGTATCACCACATCTCTTATCGGCGGCGCCTTAATCCACTCTCCATACGCTACCTCCCCTTCTCCGGACATCTCAGCAGAGCATTCTGTATTGATATGCCCAATCCGTCCACACTTGTAGCAGAAATCTTGAAGCCGTTCATACCGAAATTCCACCCAGGTTTCCTTATTTGGCTCCCTTCGAATCCAACATCCCTTAAATAAGGGCTTTCCCGTATCAACTAAGATTCGTACCCGCACAAATCCACGAGCGTGTCCAGAATCCTCCATGGCTATAAATTCCCCTGCCTCTTTGATTACACGCTGAACATTCTCAACAGAGGCTAAGCCCAGTGGCATTCCCCTTATTTGAGTCCAAAATGGAACAACATTCAACTCCAACTCCTCTAAGGCGAGCTCCGGAGGCCATTTCACGACCGAGAACACCTTTTTCATCACTGCCCAGGGGACCTGCTCAATGATCTTTGAAGCCACATCTTCATCTTTGACCGAAATAATAAATACATTCTCCCTTACCCATTTTATTTCCACCTCACCCAATTCTTTCCAAGCCGCTCTAAGAATATTCCTGACTCCCCATTTGTTCACTGGTTTTTGCGTGAAGACTTTCCCAACCAATTTAACACCCTGCTCCATATTTGATAACTCCAGTGTTTGGTTCAGTTGAACCACCAGATCATCCACCCCACTAGTCGCCATCACACTGTTCCACCTCTGCCCCACTCGCCCAGCCAGCTGAATTATATCTTCAACTCGGCCAATTAGTCAACACATAGTTAGTATCCTCAGCAATGCACCCAAACGATCAACCTTAAAAATCTCAACCGCATTGTTTGACCATTCTGCCGAACCTACTTATCCATCAGCCTCATTCTTCTCCCAGAGTCTTAGATCTCATCCCTACACCCGAACTCCAGCACTCTTTTTAGTCCCCAAAAACAAAACCACCCATGCATACACCCACCCACTCACACACCTTCAAATGGATCACCCAAGACATTCCTCTCACGGATCTCCCCAGTAATCCCCACCACTCTCTATACTGAAATTGTCAAATTATGAAAACCCTCCCTTTTCCACCTACAGATCCAGCCCCCGCAGCCCAGACCCTGAATTAATCAACCCCAACCCACCCCAGTCCCCTTCGATTATAGAGTCACCCTAAATTGAGAAGCCCCGTCCGCTTACCACCACCTTACACCCTTACAGCAACCCCCCTACTACTTGGAGTTTCATGTATATTGAATCCATAGATAGTCCCCATTTTCTCTAGAGACAAACGGAGTGGAAACTTGTTGATTTAAAAGGACAGAACACAGACTAAATCAAGTCCCCATTTTCTCGAGAAACAAACAGAGTGGAAGCTTGTTGATTTAAATGGGCAGAACACAGACTAAATCACAAGAGAACAACGCAATTCACAACCTTTCCACTAATTCAGCTAAAACCCATCTCAGAAATAATCAATTCAACGCAGATCAAGCAAATCTTTGGAGCAATTGACTTTTGGGTTCTGCAGATCTCCTCCAGCTACTGGAAATCCTGAGGAGAATTCTGTCTCTGCATACATTCTCCAAAAAGAACCCCGGAACAGAGCAAACGGAAAGCACAGAGGTCGACCTAGGTTGACAGATCCCAAATCCGATCCGTCACCATAGGCCTTTTCTCCACCACCCAGTAGATCAATACCCAAAATCTTGACCTGAAAATCATATAAAACAGATCGGAACTAACCTGCTCTCACACCAGGGACCGAATCAGGAGGCTGCGAAAGCTTCACTGCTGCTGCTGCTGCTATTGTTGGGAATTTCTTGCCAGTTTTGGATCTCTGTGTTGCTGGGAACGTGGAGATCCTTAGCCTTGGGCTTTGTGTGAAATATGTTCACAGAGGAGGGCTCTCACGGAGGAGAGAAGACTCTCACGGCGGAGAGAAAGCTCTCACAGAGGAGAGAGATATGAAAGTAGGTAAGTTTGGTGATCTACACCCCTATTTCTGACTTTGGTACTATTATATTGTATATTATATATTGCTGCTCAACCAATATACCTTTCCCATCTTATTAGGTAACTTGACGGATTAGAATAGCTCAACAAGTCCATCTTACTGTTTTATTCACAAATTGACATTTGACGGCAACTTCAAGGAACCAAATTAGACTACGGCTTTTTAATTTGTAATCCTTGTTATACTTACGTATCTCATGTTATTTGTCGCATTTCTCTCTCTCTCTCTCTCATATCACATAATTTAGTTTCTCTTTCTTATTGGAATTGACTCATTGTCTAGTATGATTTATGAAGGAGACGAGTTTTAGAATCAATCACGCTTATACGCCAATCTGATTGTCCCCGCTTTGTGATTTTCATAAGTATGATTTGTCAAATTAGCCCACCTAGATATGCATGAGTGATTTCAACATTTCAATTTCATTTTCTCATGGGTATGCTCGTCATCTAGTATGATTTATGAACGATGAAAACTGTTATAATCAGTTTTATTCGTGCGCTAATCTGGACGTTTCTATTTTGTTGATTTATAAACATAAATGGCAAAGTTAATGCATGTGTACGTGCACCATTGATCCTAATATTTTCGTTTTATGAAATACTTAATTTTCACTACTAAATTAATCCCATATGTTCATTCAACCAACACAAAAATGTTCAGGACGTATGTGAACCATTTGTTTTGCATTTGATATTTGATCTCCTTTCAAGTTTCTCAATATGTACATGGATTCCTGTACGTGTATGTCACAAAAACTAAAAGAAGCAAAATCTAAAGTCACAATTACAATGAAGCAGTTGACTTTGATCGAGTCCTCCTCGACCCAAAAGCACTGCCACCAACCGCGGCTTTTCTTCAGCTTTCAGTTTTTGACTCTTGCCGGAGTTGAAGAACAGAACCATCTATAGGAATCCATGCTATCGGATTTCGGGTGACTGATGATGGATTTCAGTACATGCTATCGGATTTGACGTTTGTTGATCCTTCTGTCTGTAAATTCCGCTGCGTCACTTGGACCAGTCAGTTTGTGACTGCGGAGTTAGCTAATCTGAGATGGAGTGGTCGTGCCAGCAGAGAAGCATGGAAACGCAGCGTCCGAGGATGTAGAACCGTGTCTTCTGTTGCTTTGCCATCATCAAGCATCGTTTCCTGAACCCGATCTTCCGGTGGCTTTTGCGGCGGCGAGCTTGGTGCGTTTGCGGTTGTTGGAAGTAAGAAGTTGCCATGGGAGAGTTGGTCACGGCGGAGGTTGGTGGTGGGTAACAGAATAAGATTGGAGTAGCGCTGAAGGAATAAATGGATGGTGCGGACATGGTTTATATAGTTTTATAGGCTCGTCTGAGGGGGGGAGGGAGGGAGAGAGAGAGAGATGAGCGCAGACATATGCGGTCCCACATCTTCAGATTGATGAAGTCATTCATGCTTAATTTTACGTTATTGCCCCTTTACTGTTAGCGAGAGAGTGATTGCGTGTCAACACCTTGAGTTTGCTCTTTTAAGAATAAATAAACAAAACGGATTTTTAATTTTTAGATATATCATGTGTTTGAGTTATCTAATGACAAACCAAACTACGGTCAGTAGCGGAAAGTAATAAAGCTTATGTACAGTGATAAAGTTAGAATTTTAACTTCAGAGAGGTACAAGACTCTCAGCTAAAACACTTTCATGATTTCAACAAAATCAATATGTCGTCTTCTGTACCTTCAATCACCGTCGTTTGTGTATAGTATGATGTTTTCCTCATCACCCTCTTTCTTAAACTTAACTCCAAGCCAATAGTCAACCGATATCACGGCCCTAGTTGATTTAGAAATTTTTTTTGGGGGGGACAGAAAAAGAAAAGAAGAATGAGAAAAGGAATAAAAAAAAAAAGAAAAGAAAAAGAAAGCTCATTTCTCTTTCCTTCTTTCTCTGTCCCTCCAAAGCTCAAAGCAACGAATTACCTGAATTTCATAAGAACCATCAACCTCAAATCAAACTCAATGAGAGAAATAAAAGGAAAAACGTTGGATTAGCTCCTGAACAGCTGAACCTAAGGAAAAACCTTGAAACTCCTAATCATAACCCTAACTTTTCAGCATGAAAAAAAAAAAAATATTAGGATGGGCCGAGGGCCTTCTTGGTCCCTTTATGGCTCCATCTCTGCTTATGCATCTTGGTGCGGGTTCGATTATTATCAATCCTATTTTCCTTAACAACAAACAATTTAACACATTAACGTTATTGTTTGTACAAAATCTTTTCTAAATTATCTTTCATTCTCTTATTGTAATATGTAGATTAGAATATTAATATCGCCTATTTTATTAATACACACACAACTAAAGTATCATTATGTGCATCTTATAATTACACTTAAGTTTGAATTCTCTTAAGATAAATTATAATAGTTTACAACATGCATGTCTTGTTTAAAAAAAAATCATGTTTTCTCTCTCTTCTAAATTCATTTTTTCCCCCCTTGATTCCCTTGTACAATAACTTTCTCTAATTAAAAATATAGTTTTTTTTTTCTGGAGTACATAATTAAGATTAAAGTTAACTTAATTAATTTAACAAAAATGCTGAACACACATACTATCGAATGAAGGGCTAAATATGCTTGATTTAAACGAGATATTATTTAAATTATCATTACCAATGATTAGATCACACTAAAAGAACAATTTACTAATAAATTAATGTATTAAAAAAAAAACTCTCAAATTTGAAGCATGTGAGAAGATTTCTAGAATCCCTGACGTCACCAACAAAATTAATTTATCAACCAATAATATTAAGAATAATATCATTCATTATAATTATCATTCCACACATGATGTAACTGTGGGTCAAATAGTAGCTTTTGTAGCACGAAGGGCATTCAAGTAATTTCGCAAACACAACAATATTCCGGTCAAAAGATTGTAGGGACAATATTGAAACCCTCCGATGGTAAAGCGAGAGAAGCCGTGTGGAAAGAGAGGATACTCACTGGATCTGCTTTGTGAGGTCTTGAAAATCTTCTAAATCACATTCATTTATTATGTATTGTGCGATTAATTTTTGTTATGTACGGTTTATATTCAATTAAAAAAATTATAATAATTTTTAACTACATAATGTAAAATGAATAGATATGATTTGAGAATACTTGAAATGCTGACACAGAGGATATGGCAAGGATCTCTGGTGGGGAGGTGGATGATCTGCTCTTCCATTTCTATATTCTTCTCATACCCTCCTATTTATATGGTCTCAGTTAAGCTACGTCAACATTTTATATTCCTATTACTTTTTGTTTTATTATTTCTATAAAAAGTTAATATAAAATATTAACGTGACTTAACCGTGATCACAATCACATGAAGACATAAAAAAAGTATGAAAATAGAAGGACAGAGAATCTACCTCACTCTGGCGGTGTGGAAATTAAGATTGGCTATCTCTGTGCAATGATCAACGTCCACGTGCAGCCCCCACTATTGTAGCATCCTACGACCATCTATCGTGTCACTTTTGTCCTTATCCAATTAAACTAATTAGACTAAAAAAATCTTTTGTGTGCTATTGTTCCTCGGTCGACATTATCCACGTGTTTTTTTAATGCTTCTAGACGAGAGAGGCCGTCTAAGAAGCGTGGCAGTGACCTGCTGGTCGGCCACCGCACGCATTGGAACATAAACGACGTGCCATTTTTGGGACAAGA